AAAAGATTCAAAAAATCATTCCATAATTTATTCTTGAAGTCCATTAAAAACTGGAGAAAATGAGCCTTTAATGGATGAAATCGGTTGGAAATTGTCGAAGTTATGAAATTTTTTGTAAAATCATGGAAATTGAATGTTCCAAGATTGGCCGTTGTCCCGCTCCTAGGTTCATGCACCACTTCCAGTAAGCCTTTCTGCGGACGTGTACGCATACGGTGCATTTCACTAACACTACCAGCTGTCACGCAAAATTAAATGGGATATTTTCAACAATATAATTTACGCTAGTGTATGTGAGACCGCTCGGCGAGAACCTAACGCAACCAACTCAATTTGACAGCTTTCTTTCTTTAACATTGTTTAACGATGTATACGACAAAACGTGAATTCAAGTGTAAAAATGATCCTCAAAAGTTTTGTTACGCATGTGGCAACTATATATTTACAAAATCGGTCAATTTCACTGCTTCGTTGCAAACTGCATACAGGCTTTATTTTAAAATTGATCCTGGAGACTTTGACGAACCGTGGATTCCAAAAGTATTATGTAGTTCGTGCAAAACGTGCTTGGCTAGGTGGATGTCAGGCGCAAGGTAAATTGATTTTTTGAATATGAATCGAATATGATCGACATTATCTTACTTCATCTATTTTTGATAAGTGTTAATGTCTTACTTACTAACTCACTTATTTGTTATCTGTCAGTCGCTATTTGTCCTTTGACATGCCCACCATATGGCGTCGACCGTTTTGTCATGCAACGGATTGTTATTTCTGCTTGACAAAAGTTAAGCAACAAGGACGTCACAAAACAGTTGAGTATCCACAAGTGGCTTCTATGACAAAACCTGTTCCACATTCAAGTTCGGTCCCGTATCCTGTTTATCCAAAGCGGAAACGAGCGCCCTCTGTTGAATCGACCGTTACAAAAAGTGAGGAGGAATTCAAGGAGGAATGCGAGGAAGACTTCGAGGTGGAATTGGAAAGAAACCCAAAACTGTTTACACAATCCGAATTTAATGATTTGGTGCGAGATCTCGACTTATCGAAGGAGAAATCCGAATTGCTGGCATCACGCTTGAAAGAACACAACATGCTGAGCAAGGAGGTCAAAATTTCTTGTCACAGGAATCGTCACAAGAAATTTGACAAATATTATTCTACAAAGGACAAGACATGTTTTTGCCATGACGTAAACGGCTTGTTTGAAGAGTTTGGTGAGCCATATGATCCAGCTGAATGGCGTTTATTCATCGATAGCAGCAAGTTGAGCTTGAAAGCCGTTTTACTGCATCAAGGGAATGAGAAACCTTCTATTCCATTAGCTCATGCCGTTAATATGAAGGAAACGTATGAATCAATGGCTCTATTGCTCAATTTGATAAATTACAATCAACACAATTGGAAAATTTGTTCCGATCCTAAAGTGGTTGCCATGTTGACTGGATTGAAACAGGGATACACAAAATATATGTGTTTTTTGTGTAAATGGGACAGTCGAGCTCGTTAGGAACACTACGTCCGAAAAGATTGGCCAAAACGGGATAATTTCACAATTGGTAAAGACAACGTTAAAAATGATCCTCTTGTGGTAAAAGAACGCATAATACTTCCACCACTACATATAAAACTTGGGCTATTCAAAAATTTCGTCAAAGCGTTGCAAAAAGAAGGGCCGGCATTCCAGTACTTGAAATCAGTATTTCCAAATTTATCTGACGCAAAAATAAAGGAAGGTGTATTTGTTGGCCCACAGATCAAAAAACTGCTCAATGATTCCGCATTCAATACAGTTTTGACACCAGATGAGGAAGAAGCGAGGAAATCGTTCCAGCGTGTTGTCACAACCTTTTTAGGAAATTTCAGAAGCCCAGATTATGAGGAAGCCGTCGATGAATTGCTCAAAAATTATGAGAAAATAGGTATAAATCAAAAATATTGTGTTTGTTACATATAATTAATTTCAAATCCTTTTATTTCACTGAACACAGGTGTGAATATGTCTTTGAAGATATATTTCCTACATTCTCACATGGATTTTTTCCCGGAAAATCTTGGTGACGAGATCGGCGAGCACGGCGAACGTTTTCACCAACAAATGAAGATGATGGAACGTCGTTACCAAGGGTTTTGGGATGAAGCAATGATGGGTGACTATTGTTGGTTTCTGATTCGAGAAACAAGTTCAAAACATCATTAAGGGCTCATTTTCTCCGGTTTTGAATGGACTTTAAGAATAAATTATGGAATGATTTTTTGAATCTTTTTATCTCATTAAAAATGTTGATTAAAACAAGATTTTTATGGAAAATTTGCAGGAAAAATAAAAAAAAAAATGCTGTAAATTTTTAAAAGATGTCAAAATTAAATTTTTAATTAAGACATAATATTCTAGTGAACGATAGCAAATTTATTTAGCTTCATTTTCATAAAAAAAATATTTAAAATTGGTGAACTAGTTCCAAAGATATTGACATTTTAGTAATCGTACTTTTGTCCAAAATTCAAAAAATCAAAATTTTTGTATATCTCAAAAATGGCTCTACTTTAATTTTTTCTGACCACGGCATTGAATTCAGCGTAGGATTTTGCATTGGAAATGATCATCACCTTACCGAGTTCAAAAATGGTGTAAACTAGTGTTATCAAGTGCAGGTATCACAATGTGGACACAAGTGCGTGATGAATGCGGTCTGAAAGTTCACGAGTTACACTAACGACATTTTACAAAATGTTGCAATAGATTACTAATCTTATATAAAGCTAACAAAATATTTGTAGCGCATTGCTGATTTGTGGAGTAGTGTTAAGCTTGAATAAGTCTTGTCTAATCTTTAGATCAGTTAACATAATGAGGTTGAATTATGGGAATACAATTAGATTTATGCAATACTAATCAACTATATATTCAGCGTGGTGTTAATCAGCTTTGTGTCAGTGTTCACTCGGCTGTCGACAAAAGCAGGCCACTCTCGATGTGTGCCACGTGATCGTCTGTTTTCTCGGCAGCAATCATTGGGTGGTCCTCCGCATTGTTCTTCATCAGCAGTTCTTTCGGTCGATGCGTCGTCGACTTTGGAAAGCAACCGTTTCGTGATGAGTGTGTGAGTGCTGACCACGTTTTGCGTCCATTGCTGCAATGGAACCACTCTGCCCTCCGTTGGCGATACTGCCATACAATGAAACCACTGGAAGCGGATCCCGTTCTGATGGAGGAGGCTTATTGGATAGCGGAAGATAAAGTGTTTATTGTGTTGTACCTTTTGACTATAGTTTTAAGATGTATTTTATAGTGACCAAGAATCCTCAGTTTTGTAAAGTTAATTCGTTTGAGCCTTATCAAATAAATTGATAAAAAAAAAACAGCTTTGTACACCTTAAATCATTCATAAATCAGCTTCTGTTCTTACAGTTCAGCTTGAATTGTTACTTGGGGGATGACAAATTGAATTTCAAGAACTGGCAGCCCTCTTGCGTGTTTTGTTATAAATTATTTACTCAGAACTTCCATAAATGGTTCCTTGAACCATTTTTTTTTTCAAATTCTATGAGTTTCAGCAAATCATGAATTTCGGTAATATTCTTGAAATTATTGACGATAAAAATATTCTATAAGTCGATGATTCCATAACTTGATGGTCCCTTCAAAATCAATCGTACTCTATGCCCAGGAAAGTCGAGAAATTTTCCAACCCAAAAATTCCTAGACCAGACCGGGAATTGAGCCCAGCCACCTCCAGCGTGGTCTTGCTTTGTAGCTGCGCCTTTACTGACTGAGCTGAAGGAAGCTCCTGATCACCTGATGGTCATTGGAATATTTTCCGAGAGATTTGAATCGATGAACAGTTTGAGATAGTCACTGCAATAGGTTCTATGTTGATCAGAAAAGTCTTAAAAGTTTAAGTCTAAGTCTTAAAAAAAATATTCAAAATATGAAGATTGTACGCGATGAACGCTTCCAATAGGAAAACGAACGACGTCATCGAATGGCGCATCCTGATTGGCTGACGCAGCCGATGAAAGAGTATAAAAGTAAACAACATTGTATTTCATGTTTCATTCTGTATCCTGGATTTAGCCATTGAAGAGGAAGCAGCGAATAAAAAGGCAGAATTGAGAACAGTGTCTCATTCTTTTCGTCCGAGAACGGAGATTTCCCGAGCATTCGTGCTTCGTCCAGTTCCTGTTCGTTCATCCACTGGTTGCATGTGGTGATCGATTCATCTTCCATAAGTTCCACCTAGTGGACACTTTTAAAAGAGTTGAACTTTCCTGTTTCCCTGCTCATCGGAGCCTTGTGTTCGGCAGTTTTGCCGTGGTCCTTCGAGATAGAGAGAGGTTTACTGCGCTGGTGGCTGTAGTGGTTACAGCTGTTGGCAGCTCAACGACTGGTGCTGAAGAGTTTTCAGCGACCCATCGTTCCTACGCTGTCCGCTGTGGTGTGCGCAGCCAACGGTGCATCGTCCCTTCGCTGGTAGCTGTGGTGTGCACAGCTGTCAGTGGCTCATCATCCCACTACTGGTGGCTGTGAGGTGCACAGCTGTCGGTGGCTTGATCACGAGTTGTGTCGTGGTCCTTCGTTCGAGAGAGGCAACCCGTCGCTGGTGGCTGTAGCGTGTACAGCCAACGGTGACTCTACGATCCATACGCTGGTGGCTGTGAAGTGCATAGCTGTCGGTGGCTCGATCACAAGGTAGGTTTTCGTCTGTGCTGTTGTGGTAAGGGCAATGATCTACCCCAAGAGAGATTGAGTACATAACATTTGGTCCTCACGAGCCGGATATCAACCGGTGAGATACGTCCATCCGCGAATATTCGTGACCCTTCCTTCCAACGAGTTTGTGCCCGAATGAGTAAAAAGTGTTTGAAACCTACGATCGTAGTACAGTAGTACCCTTAAAAACTGTGAGTGTTGAGAGTGAACTGTAGTGAAAAGTGTAATCATGACGAAATTGAAGCAATTAATTCATCAACGAGGACAAGTAAAGGCGCGAGTGACAATGATCATCCAGAAGCTAAACGAAGCTATGGATGAACCTGAAACAGTGAGCCTTTCCCAGTTGAAGGCTTATGAGAAGAAATTGGAACTACATTATTCGGAGTATGCGGTGAAGCATGACTTAATCGTGACTCAGTGTACTAGTGAAAACATGGAGGATCAGGACAATAAGTTGGACGAGTTTGACGAGCTGCACACGGAGGCGTTAGTGAAGCTGAATCAACTGTTTGATTTACTTCGTGCTGATCCACAACCTAATAATGGAGTTCCCCAAGTGATTGTGACTCAGCAACCTCTGAAGACGCCAATCCCAACCTTCGATGGGAAGTACGAAGGTTGGCCAAAATTCAAAGCTCTTTTCAATGACTTGATCCGAAAGTGTGGCGACTCCGATGCAACTAAACTGCAATACCTGGACAAGGCGCTGATCGGTGAAGCTTCCGGTATCCTTAATGCCAGAATTATCAACGACAACAACTACCAGCAAGCATGGGAGTTGTTAGAGGAGCGCTTTGAAAATCCGAGAGTGATTATTGACACCCATATTTCCGGTTTATTGTCGATGAAACCGATAACCAAACAAAGCTTCAAGGAGCTAAGAAACCTTATCGATACTTGCAATCGCCACGTGGAAGGATTGCGGTTCATGGAGCAGGAGGTTGTTGGAACAGCCGGTCTAATCGTGGTGAAGCTACTTACAATGTGCCTTGATGGAGAAACGCGGAAGCAGTGGGAGCTCACCATGGAGCACGGAGAACTTCCTGACCTCGAAGAATCCATGAAGTTCCTAAGAAGTTATTGCCAGGTACTTGAGAGATGTGAAGTAGACAAGGCGTCCTCAGCTAAGGCAGCTGTTAAGCCTCCTATGATGGGGAAAACCAGCTCATCGCAAAGAACCTCCAATCCAGCAACATCCAGTTCACCGGAGAATGTGTGTGAAATATGCGCGGGTCAACATTGCAATTACAAGTGTCCTTCTTTCTTGAGCATGAGTGTTGATCAGCGTGTTACCCCCATCAGCGTGTTGACCAGCGTGTTGTGAAGCAAATCGGACTATGTTTCAACTGCCTTAGGAAAGGCCATCAAATCAGGGCTTGTCCATCAGATAAGTCATGCTCGAGGTGTTCCAAAAAGCATCATACCATGTTGCACTTCGAGCAGGTATCCCAAGCTGAGCCGAAGCAGAAAACTCCAGGTGGAACATCCAAGCCGCAGGAGATGCAGACAGCAGCAGCTGTACCTGAGGATCCTGTGTCTACAGCCTGTTCCAGTATGCAACAACGAGCGAAACAAGTGTTTTTGATGACCGCATTGGTGAATGTTACGTCAAAGAGTGGAAGGAATTTCAAGTTGCGTGCTCTCTTCGATTCCGGGTCTCAGATCAACCTGGTTTCTGAATCTGCTGTAAAACTGCTAGCGCTTCCGAAGTATCCTGCCAACGTGCCAGTCGTAGGAGTGGGTGGCGCCAGATCTCAAATTCGTCATCGTGTGATCCTGAAGTGTTTCTCCGACTACACCGATTTCCAAGGTGACATGGACTGTTTGGTGACAGCTAGAGTGACAGGAAAGATTCCATCTGTTCCAGTTGACATCTCGGAGTGGAAGTTCCCGAGTGGTATTGTGTTGGCCGATCCAAGCTTCAACGAACCGAGAGAAGTGGACCTACTGATCGGTGCCGAGCTGTTTTTCAAAATCCTGAAACAAGCTCAGCTGAAACTCTCTGATAATCTACCCGTACTGTACGAGACTCAGTTCGGATGGGTTATTGCCGGTGCTTTAGAAGAGTCCGAGGAGGAAGTCGTCAACGTGCTGTGCGCCACAAATGAGGATCTGTTGCTGAAGAGCATTCAGAGGTTTTTCGAGCAAGAAGAACTTCCAGAAGAAAAAGTCCTGACGAATGAAGAGCAAGCGATAGAAGATCACTTCTGCAAAACTTATCGACGAGATGAGGATGGCCGATTCGTGGTTAAACTACCGTTCCGTGAGTCCATCAATGAACTAGGAAACTCCCGATCATTAGCGTTGAAGAGGTTCCTGTCAATTGAGAAACATCTAACCAATAAACCCGAGATAAAAGAGATGTACCAAGAGTTTATGCAGGAGTACAAGGACCTTGGTCATTGCCACGAGATCCGTGAGGGAGACGATCCGCCTGGCCAACAGAGCTACTATTTGCCTCATCATGCTGTACTTAAACCTACAAGTACCAGCACAAAGTTACGTGTTGTATTTGACGCCAAGGTGAAGTCTAACGGATTATCCCTCAACGAAGTTCTGATGATTGGACCGAAGATTCAGAACGATCTGTTTACAATCCAATTACGTTTCCGGATGCACATATATGCATTTTCTGGAGACGTTGAGAAAATGTTCAGGCAAGTGAAACTTGATCCAAGACAGACACATTACCACAGAACTTTCTGGCGTGACCAACCGATGGACCCGATAAAAGTGATGGAGTTGTTAACGGTGACCTACGGGACGTCTCCTGCATCGTTTTTGGCAGTGAGGTCCATGGTTCAACTAGCGAGAGAGGAAAAAGCCAACTTTCCTGCAGCTGCAGAGGCGATATTAGAGGACTGCTACATGGACGATATATTGAGTGGTGCCCCAACACTTGCATCCGCGAAGCAACTGCGAAGTGATATCGAGGAGCTTATGATGAAAGGAAAATTTCCTATCCGAAAATGGTGTACCAACGACGACGAAATTCTTGAAGGTGTTCCGGATCAAGACCGTGAAAAGCTAGTTCGAATAGGAGATTCTGGTACCAACGAAGCGATTCGAGCTTTAGGTGTTCTGTGGGACCCAAGATGTGATCAGTTCCTGTTTTGGAGAAGCCCGGAAGTGATGCAACCGGATGTGAAGGTGACTAAAAGGTATGTTCTTTCTCAAATCGCCAAACTGTTTGATCCCCTTGGCCTCATATCACCTGTGATCGTTTTGGCTAAGTCCATCATGCAGCAATTGTGGGCTGATGGTCTGGGATGGGACGAGACCCTAGAGGGCGAGTTGTTGAGTAGATGGGTGACCTTACATCAGTCATTGGTACAACTGAACGAGATACGAATACCGAGATGTGTTATGGCTCCTGGAGCTCAACGTATTGAGATTCACGGCTTCTCTGATGCGTCGTGTACTGCTTATGGTGCTTGTGTTTATTTGCGTTGTGTTCAGGAGAACGGGGCAGTGTCAGTTAGGCTGCTTTGCAGTAAGTCAAGGATTGCCCCTCTGCGTCGTCTCACAATACCTAGATTAGAGCTGTGTGCCGCTGTGGTATTGGCCAAACTGGTTAGTGTAGTGATCCCTATTCTGAAAACCGAATTCCACGATATCAAGCTGTGGTCTGATAGCCAAATTGTGCTGGCATGGATAAAGAAGAATCCGGATCAACTTCAAGTCTACGTCAGAAACCGAGTTTTGGATATTAACAAACTGACTAGTGCCTACGAGTGGAAGTACGTCAGGTCCGAGAATAATCCTGCGGATTTGGTGTCCAGAGGGTGTTACCCTGGTGTGTTGCATCGTTCTGATATGTGGTGGAATGGTCCACTATTTCTGCAAGATGTTAACTACGATATCCAGGAGACTCCGGTGATTCAAGATGAAGAGTTACCAGAAATGCGACAAGTTCAAGTGTGTAACCCAGCGGTCGATGTTGAAGACGATCCGGTATTCGAGCGGTGCGGATCGTTTTCCAAGCTGCAACGTGTATTGGCGCAGGTGGTGAGATTCACTCGACTGATACGAATGAAAAAGGAGGATCGTAAACATGCAAGATACATTTCTGTGCAAGACATGCGGAAGGCATTGGATTACATAGTAAGGATTTTGCAGAGGACCGGATTGAACGAGGAGATCCAGTGTGTTCAGCGTAAGGAGTTGCCGAAGCGATTGGCGAATCTTCAACCATTCCTGGACGAAGAAGGTTTCCTTCGCGTCGGCGGGCGTCTACAAAACTCTAAATTACCGTATGACGCCAAGCACCAATTACTTCTTCCACGCAATCACCGAGTGACGGAAATGTTGATTCGTCAATATCACGAGGAGAGACTGCATGAAGGGCCATCCGGTTTGCTGGCAGCAATAAGGCAGAAGTACTGGTTGGTAAATGCTCGATCTGCCATCCGGAAAGTGACTCGAAGCTGCGTAAAGTGTTTCAGGACTAAGCCGAGAGGAATTCAGCCCTTAATGGGAAATTTGCCGGAGGAGCGTGTGAATGTAGCAGCAGCGTTCGAACTCACTGGTGTGGATTACGCCGGCCCAGTGATTGTGAAAGAAGGAAGGTATAAGCCGAAACACGTAAAGGCATACATTGCACTGTTTGTCTGCCTAACAACGAAATCGATTCACCTTGAATTGGTTTCGGATTTGACAACCGAAGCTTTTCTCGCCGCTTTAGATCGTTTTATCAACCGTCGTGGAATGGTTCGTAAAATTATGTCAGATAACGCGACCAATTTTATTGGTGCTTCGAAAGAACTCCACAAATTGTACTTGATGTTCCGTGACGAGACCGCAAGAACGAAGATCAACGATTTTCTGCTCAAACGAGAGATTGAGTGGGAATTCATTCCGCCTAGATCACCCAACTTTGGGGGTTTGTGGGAGGCAGGAGTAAAGGTTGTCAAGTCCCACATATATCGGACTTTGGGCAACGCAATTTTGACGTTTGAGGAGTTCGGAACAGTATTGACCCACATCGAAGCCATAGTGAATTCCCGACCCTTGTATGCACTGTCTGAGGACCCGAACGAGCCGCTTCCGATAACACCTGCTCATTTGATGATTGGAAGACCATTGGAACCGATTTTGAAGCCGTCGTACTCCGATGTAGCAGTGAACCGTCTGTCTCGCTATCAGTATATGAACAATTTGCGTGATCGGTTTTGGGCAAAGTGGTCGCATGATTATCTATCAACGCTTCAATCGAGGGCAAAGTGGACAAAAAGTGAACCGAATGTGAAAATGGGTACTATTGTGCTACTGATGGAAGACAATCTACCAGTTCAGTCATGGAGGTTGGGTCAAATTGTTGCACTTTACCCGGGAAGGGATGACGTGATCAGAGTCGCCGACGTGAAGACTGCAACGGGAGTATTCCGGCGCTCCATTCGGAAGTTGGCGCCTCTTCCTATTACCGACAACGACCAATCGAAGATTTCCGCTTTTGGAATGGTATTCCAACCGGCGGGAGTATGTACGCGATGAACGCTTCCAATAGGAAAACGAACGACGTCATCGAATGGCGCATCCTGATTGGCTGACGCAGCCGATGAAAGAGTATAAAAGTAAACAACATTGTATTTCATGTTTCATTCTGTATCCTGGATTTAGCCATTGAAGAGGAAGCAGCGAATAAAAAGGCAGAATTGAGAACAGTGTCTCATTCTTTTCGTCCGAGAACGAAGATTTCCCGAGCATTCGTGCTTCGTCCAGTTCCTGTTCGTTCATCCACTGGTTGCATGTGGTGATCGATTCATCTTCCATAAGTTCCACCTAGTGGACACTTTTAAAAGAGTTGAACTTTCCTGTTTCCCTGCTCATCGGAGCCTTGTGTTCGGCAGTTTTGCCGTGGTCCTTCGAGATAGAGAGAGGTTTACTGCGCTGGTGGCTGTAGTGGTTACAGCTGTTGGCAGCTCAACGACTGGTGCTGAAGAGTTTTCAGCGACCCATCGTTCCTACGCTGTCCGCTGTGGTGTGCGCAGCCAACGGTGCATCGTCCCTTCGCTGGTAGCTGTGGTGTGCACAGCTGTCAGTGGCTCATCATCCCACTACTGGTGGCTGTGAGGTGCACAGCTGTCGGTGGCTTGATCACGAGTTGTGTCGTGGTCCTTCGTTCGAGAGAGGCAACCCGTCGCTGGTGGCTGTAGCGTGTACAGCCAACGGTGACTCTACGATCCATACGCTGGTGGCTGTGAAGTGCATAGCTGTCGGTGGCTCGATCACAAGGTAGGTTTTCGTCTGTGCTGTTGTGGTAAGGGCAATGATCTACCCCAAGAGAGATTGAGTACATAACAAAGATCTTAAAACACATGACTTTGGAATAATTTCTAAGCTGTAGTGTTTCACATGAGAGAAAAGCTGTGAGATACGATATGGATTAGCGAATACTTAAATATCGTTAGAATGATACCTGATCAATCTAAAATCTTGAAAAAATATCCTGCGGTTCTCATCAAGGTGATCTCTTATCACTTGGTGTTATTTTAAATAATTTATGATCAACCTGGAATCTTTGAGAATATCGTGTAGATGTGATCTGAATTGTTGGGCAGTTGACGATCTTCAGAATGATATCTGTTTAAGGTGTAGTCTAAAACAAATATCTTGAGGATATGTTGGAGATCTATGATCACTTGGAGGTCCTTTGAAGAATTTCTAAGCAGCCTTGTATCTTGCAAAAAAACATGGGAGATATGATTTGAATTGTTGGGCAGTGGAATTTTGAAGATCTTTGATCACCTGGAAGTATTTGTAATAATTTCTGAACTGGTAGGTTGAGAGAATATCTGAGAGTTTTGATTTGAATTGTTGTGCAGTTAAAGATCTTCAGAATTATACCTGACCAAATTGAAATCTTGAACAGATACCCTGATGACTTTTTTGAGCTAACTGATCATCTGGCTTTAAAATAATTTCTGAGCAACCTGATGTTTGAGAGAATAACTGGGAAATGTGATTGGAATTGTTGTGCAGTTGAAGATATTCAGAATTATAATCTTGATCAAATAACCAGCTGACTTCTGGGAGGTCTAGATATTTGTTCAGGACTTCAGGTTAGTGTTTTCCGTACTGAGTACCAATGCTCCCGACGCCAGGGATGCAGCTTCTACACCTGGACCCTATCTATCGACCCATCAACTCATGGACCGGGGACCAAGGGCTTTACTCCCCTTCCGAAGGAAGGCGTAATCAGAGATTTTATGTTTCGGGGCCCCCCTTAGCTCAGTCGGTAAAGGCGCAGCTACAAAGCATGACCATGCTGGAGGTGGCTAGGCTCAATTCCCGGTCCGGTCTAGGAATTTTTCGGGTTGGAAAATGTCTCGACTTCCCTGGGCATAGAAGTATGATTGGACTTGCCACACAATTATACCAATGCAAAAATGGTACAGGCATCGAAAGCTCTCAATTAAAAACTGTGGAAGTGCATCTAGAACACTAAGCTGAGAACACGCTATAAGCTAATATGCTATATGCAATAAGCTTGAAATGCGAAGAAGAAGAAGAAGAAGAAGAAGAAGATGTTTCAGAAAATCCCGGCGACACCGACTGGGATGGAACCCAAGCCCTTTGAGGTGAGAGGCAACCACGCTTACCATTACACCACCGGCGCCGCTAATAGGTTGTAGTTGTGAAGAAGTTGAAGTCTATTTTTCAGCAAAAATGACGTTCAGAACTGATGTCAAATTAGGCTAAAACAATTGAAAAATCATCTTTTCTTTACAGCCTTTTAGCTACTAATACCATGTAACAACTTTAAAAAAACTACTAGGACAGCACTATGGGGTTGTACGGAATGGTGACGTAGGACTACGTGGTCTTATATAATAAATCTTATTTGTTAATTTGTTACTTCTGTGGGAGCAGAGCTCTCTATTATGGCAATCCCCCAGGTCCCTGGTCTAGAGCCACGGGGACCAACGGGGTGGGCTTTCCACCAGCCTCTTTTGTTGGCTTAGCTCACGACTCTTCCCCAGGTCGTATCTCGACAAAGAGTGAGATGGTGAGGCTGATCAGGGCGCAAATAACCTTCTACTCGGTCTTCTTTTAGGCACTTTTTATTTAGGATATCACGTTACTTACGTATAATAGGGTGTGTGTGTGTGTGGGTGTATGAATGGCCGGCCGGCGTGCTGGATCGTGGATCACTGGGCGGATGACCCAGCGGATGATCTGCTAGTTTAGGAATGACGCGATCTCGTGTCTCCCGACGCTCGCTTGGTTGACCGCTCCGACGGTCTAGACAGCGTTCGGTTGATCGCCAGTGATTGCGAGGAACTTCACGCTCGCTGGGGGGGGTTGACCGCTCCGACGGTCTAGAAAGCGTTCGGTGGCTCAACGCTGAACAGCGGAGACTCAAACTAAGGACAATGGGTCCTTGGGTTAAAACAATGGGAGGTCTTATTATATGGAAACTACTGGGCAGTTGGGTTAGGTATGTTACCTGATTCTTTGATTAACGCGTTCCTGAGGTTTTTATTTCCACTTTATTTAACTGGAAAGTCACTTCGACTTGAAATATTTGAACACTTGGACTTTGTCTGTAAATATACCGATACTAGTCTGTGAACTATGATCCAAACCTCCTTCGAGAAGAGCTGAAGTGGAAAAGAACTTGCCCATTCGATCTGACCCAGTAGTAACCTCCTTTTTGACCATACTCCCTGTTTCCACCCGTCATACTTTTCATTTATTTCCCTCTTCTGTTAACCGATCCTGGTTGTGGTGTCTGTATGGGAAGTGTACCTTATGTTTTACAAATTGTGTTCTGATAATTTTAATTTGACCGTTTCTTTGGAGTGGTATTTTTAATCTGTTCTGCTATTTCTTTACATATTTTCATTTGTTTTTAATAAATTAAGTTTTATAACATAGAACATTAAGTAAAGAAACAATAACTTTCGGCATAACCGTTAAATAAATAGATTAATATTATAGATAACTCAATAGCATATCGCTAGCAACAGTCGGCCTTGCTCGTTCATACTTAATAGCAGTATGGATTGCCGATACCTACACTCACTCTCATTGCTCAGTGCTGGTGATATAGGGTAAACTACCCAAACGGTAACAAATTGCAGTAGGAGCTTGTGTTTTGTGTAGGAATAGGGATTTGCGCAGGGTTCTCACTGTTTATACTCTTCAGTATAACGCGCTTGACATAGATGGCCCACAGCAACTCACGAAGAGCTACTGATTCCGATCAATAGCGGTGCGGCTTCTTCCTCCTTCTATGGATGCTCATGTGTGCTACAGCTCGCTGTTTACAGGCAGCCATTCGTTGTGTACTGGAGAACAATGTTCAACACCACGCGCCGAAAGCACTACTGCTGCTGATGCTGACGACCGGACACCACCACACACGGTGATTGGAACTGAATACGATCAGCGGTTGAGGCCAGCCTTGATAGCTAGCTGCTTGCGGGAAGCCTTTCGTTGTGTACTGGAGAACACCACCACACACCACACGGTGATTGAATAAACACCGGATCGAATTCAACTTTGAAATCTGTGTTAGGCAAATCGCTTTTCGCAGGTAATCGGTGAAAATTTTAATTATCATAGCACAAGTTGCACATTCGGGCAATTTTCAATAGTGACATTTTGAAAAATGATAAAGTCTTAAACTTAACAGATGCGTAAAAATATATCTGAACGATTGATGATAAAACTATTGAAATTGGTCCAGGGGCAGCTGAGTTATTAACGTTCAAAATCTTTCATAATTTGGTTACATGTTACATTTTTGGTTTTCACAAAGTGTACCCCCATATAGAAATCACAGACGTAGTCCTACGTCAAAATATTGTTCGATTTGTACAAAAAGTGCGAAAAACCTGTTTTGTCACAATGTCCAACATTTATAAGAAGACCATGGACGATCCTCGGTTGGCGATAAAAGGGCCTTCAAAGGTTTGTTTACAAAAAGCTTGTATGCCCTTTTTACATGTGGCTCTTGATATGGGGTTTGATCTATTCAATACTGAGATTTATATGCTACAATGACATTTCATTTATTCAATTACAACGTTTTAATAGAGCACAGGCAACAGATAAAATGAATTTAAACTAACTTACATAGTTGCAGTGGACAGCGTGTCTGCCTGCAACATAAATATTTATGATGGCAGGTGCACTTTGATTTCTAAAGTTATTTTGCCAGGACCAACGGTAATTAGTATGTTTCCGAAAGTGTAGTGTACAAGTCTGGAACCTAATTATGAATAATAAAGGAACTGATTTTCTAATTTCAAAAATTGAATTTTAATGTAAGGATTTATTCAATAACCACCCACTTACAAAAAAAATAATAATGAATTGTTCATTTTGGAGTTATGTTATAGACCATTTATTTTGTTATTCATGCATTAGTGAATGGAGCAACGAAAATAATAATATCGTACTTCTACACGGAGATGAAAAACTACCCAAAATTAAGTACTTTTCCCTCAATTCCAGGGTTCAGCCCAATAGCCTAAATTTGAGTAAATCGCATATAGTATTTTCCATTTAACACCAGCAAAAAAAATACATACTCTTAAGTATATTCTACCCAAAGTTAAGTGTAATTCACGTAAATTTGAGAATATGCAATTTACTCAAAAGCCCAATAAGCTGAACTATATCGTTGAGTCGAATCTCTCGTTCTTTTTTGACAACAATAAAGAGTTCAAAATCCCGAAGGCCCAATTTTCCTTATTAGGGATTTGAGCAGATTTTTCTCCTTTACTTTACTAAAACCTTAGGTTATTATTAGTTAGGTAGGTTCCGATTCTACACATTGTAGTTTCATGTGATCTTGACATTTTTACCTAGGGTATGAGTACTTAAGGGGGTTAGGTTTTTGATATGTCTTTAGTAGGAATGACACTGATTGTGGTCGAAATACGTATCTGTCACCAAAATTAAGTGGAATTAAATGGAAGATAACCTTTTTTGCTGTTTTATACAGTCCATTGTTACTCCTTGGAAACACATGCAGTAGATGTAAGAAGCCCATACCGACATTTGATACATTTTCGCTTGGCTTGTTTGCTTCAGCTTCAGCATTCACTTATCGCTAAATCGATGATTCACCGGATTCAATGATTCACTTTCAAGCTTATGAAATTCACTCAGTCCAAAAAAACCCAAATCATCATAATCCCATCCATTGTAAACCGCCACAAGTTCACTTACCTAACTCAACAGGTGCGGCAGCCGAAGGCCCGGTTTTTTGTTCTTCTCCAGCAAAGCGTAGCGCATCGTTGTTTTTTTTTTTTTTTTCAATGCCAAAATAATTGACCCAATTTAGCTGCCGTCATCGATAGCGTCTCACGCGCGTCTGTCTACCTTCCGTCCATACTCGAAACGATTAACGAGTGGTGAACGAAAAAAAAAATGTCACCAAAAGGGTTTACCTTTTTCTGCATGGCCTGAAAAATCACAGCCCTGACAGTGCAGCTTTAATGGGAGAGAGAGAGATTGGGAGAGATAGAGCGAGAGTAAACCTCCGTTTACCTTTAATACCTACGACAACGCCGACGACCCGGGTCGGCGGCGGTAGCGATGGTAATTGATACGGCGACGGAGGCCCGGCCACCGCGACCACCTTGTCCTCCCTCAACCTTTGTGTGTGTGTGTGTGTTTGAAAGTGAAAAAAAAAATGTCGACATAGAAATCGCGTTTTGAAAATTATTCCAAGAGAGATGAATCGAAAACAATCAACGACTCCTAACTCCTACTCCCGTTTGATTTGTACTCTTTTACAGACCGGCGACAGATCGAATCGAGCGAAAGCAGAGACGACGGCTAGGGATTATCCATTACAAAATATTTATAATTATCATCACATAACAGGCAGCAGGGGCACGAACAATAACAACAACGAACGACTACCTACTCTCCTGGCACGAACACAGTGACGCAAGGAGCACGAACGAAGCGCGAAACAAAGAGATTGCACGCACACTGTGACGAGTGCGCGTGGTGAGAGCGAGAGCGAAGTGCATTCGTGAGTATTCGGCTGCTTCGGGCAGAAGGCCGAAGTGCGAGCACTGGGGGTTCGTGGAGCCGAACGACTCTCGCTCGCTGTCAGTCGTCCAGCAGTAGTCGAGCGGTTCGCACGTATCGTATGGTGTCACGGCTCGTCGCTCGTCCGTACATACATATATGTGTGTATTCATTCGGTCGCCCTTGGAAATAGTGATTGAGAAAAAAGGTTTTTAATTTTTTTTTTCGTTCGTTCGCTTGCTTTTGTACATTGTGTGTATGTTTCGAAGTGAAGTGAAGGATACAAGAAGACGAAGCAAAAGAAGCAGCAAAATATGAAAGAAGTGCTTTTGTGTGGTGAACGAGCGTGTCCGTGTGTCTGTGATGCACCACCAGGGAAGAGGTGAAAAGTTTTTACTGAAAAATTTCTGTCCGTGCAAGCAGAAGTGAGGCAGCCCCAGTGCGGTTTTCTCGTAAACTGCGGCGATACAGTTAGAGAGTAGTGGGGGATACGGCCTATCGGAAGTGGGATTTCCAAACTCCGTGGAAATCGGCAAGTATTGTGATCGTTGCGAAACGCGAACAAACCGTGATTTTGATTGCCCCCATAAAGTGGTGGAAAGCAATCGATTACGAAATCAACAAACGCGAAGCCCTGAAATTTCGCACGCGTGTATATCGTGCGTTAAACAGTCAACTTTCCCCCGTTAGATATCCGATTACGGACGACGATACCTCCTCTGTGGAGTTGGGTGTCGAGTTTTTCACCAACCGCCCTCCGTCGTCGGTTGTTGGCTGGAAGAAACAAAGGAAAGCTACCTACCCCCGAAGGAATAGAAAACGGAACAAACCAGTCAGAAGTAGAAGCAGTGTTGCAAGAAAAGTTCCACGCGTACATGTGGGCAAGAAGTGAGGCAAGTGTGTGTTCCCGTTGAAAAGCTAGTGTTGGTGCCCAAGTGTTCGCGAGCTCGCTTCGGTGTTGGTTATTGGCACCTGATTTGATGACCATTGTTTCTTCGCGTACTGCTAAACGATCCCGTGTGTTCCGTGAGTGTGTGGGCGCAGCAAAGCTGCGGAAGAATCGAAAGAAACCATCAAGATAAACGGAAAAATGAGATGAATAATTGTGCAATTACTGCCGGTTGGCTATTAATCTTTGGCTAAACTACGAATTGGTCCGTCCGGAACCTCTCTCAGTGTGTGTGTGTGTGTCTGTGGGTTCGTGTTTATTTTTTGTGAAAGAAACCTCAGTGTGCCGTGAATTGTCCTGAGATTTATTGTTATTTTCGTGAATCGACGGCAGCGACTAGTTGTGTCTGCAAAATAGTGGGTTGGTGCTTTCGTGAAGACCCCGAGAAAGATGTCGTTATCACCGTTCCGTTGGATTACAAAAGCAGTAGCCGCAGCACTAGCGCTAGCACTACGCCCTGTGTGCAATATGGATTAAGTAGGTGCTATTTTTAGTGTCGCCGTCGCCTGCTTCGTCGCCACTGCTGACGTGAATGTGTGTGACCCCATTCTCGGGCGCTACTGTAGTCTGCAACATTTTACGTATTTTGTTTTTTTTGGATTACCCGTCTCCGTCGTCATCGATTCGTTGATAGCTGCCCGCTAATTGTTGTTGCATTGTGAAGTGCATCGAAAGCAAACCAGGAATAGGCGTAGTTTGTCGGTTGCATCTCTGCAATCTTTGTCCCACGGTGAAATGTGGCCCGAAGTGGAGTGAGAAGCTGAACACAAGAGGTGAGTGAAGTTATCAACTTAGGTCTCATGTTCGGGGGGACCTCCTGCTGAGGTTGGGTGAAGTTAAGTACCGGTTGTATTGCTCGCAAGTGGGATTCCGTTGGGAAGCGGGGAAATTTGAGACGGTGATGGTGTCAGTTACGATGCAATCAACATATACTATGAGTGAGCAAGTGCGTGAAGTGAAGGGGGAACACCGTTGAATGTTCTTTTGTGTTGATTGAATTGACAGTGTAAAAATTGGCATCACAGCGAGTTGTGATTCACTGGGTGATGTGACTCAGACAATTATTCCCGACGGCAGTTTGGAATCTTCGAACTTTGCAAGGTTTAGGTATCCGCTAGTTGTGCGGTTTTCGAGTATATATGTGCATACATGAAACAACGAAATGCAAAGACGAATGACATTAAAATGGTTTAGTCTCTATAATAACATTATAATAAACGAAACGACCAAGAATATTTGATTTCGCTGGATGATGTCTGCTTACAGTTCCAAACGAAGTGGAGTTTTCGTGAGTTGCTTTTTAAACGCCAGTGAAAAAAAATCGCGTGTTTTACAAGCTCTGTTGCAGTTCTGGAGAACGTTAAAGGCAGTAAAAATCTGTCGTAAGTTGAAACTATGGGACTGATTATGAACTACTCCCATCTGCTCTCAAATGAGGGGGTTAGAAGGAAAGGGGTGTAAGTGACTTTGATCGATTCTCATCATCGACTTTCTCTTTTGATAGCCACAGCTTTATACCCAAAATTTGCGCTATTTCTGCCACATAGTTTGATAAAGGAGGTTCTCATCTAGCATCCAGAATGGCACACGAATCAAGAAATGTGTTTGCAGCTGAATTATTAACGAAAGAGAAAGTCGATGAAGAGAATCTATCAAAGTCACTTACACTCCTTTCTTTCTATCCTCCTCAAATAAGTGTTGTAGATTGCATTTCCATAGTTATTAACAAGCTTGCAAATACTCATTTCAGCTAAAATAATGTTTTTCGGAATAATAAAACCAAAAGATGGTAAGATGACATGTTTTACTTGTTACTTACAAGAAGAGGTTACAAAGTATGCGTTTGTAACATAAAACTTGTAAATTTTGCTTTCTATGAGTCACAATCAGCGATTTGCTGATCGCTGAGTGAGTGAGTGTGTGAAAAATCGCTGATTGTGACTCTCGTGAAGTGAAATAAACAGGTTTAATATGTCAAACACATTCTTTGCAGCCTCTTCTTGTTTCTTATCAATTCAAAATATAATCATAGTATCTAATTATTTCATAATTAACATTGTTTTAGCTTAAATGAGTATTTGCAACCTTGGTTATTAACACTCCGAATACCGTGGGTAAAAAACTTTACGCCGACTACGAAGCCTCCGAAAAACTACAAGGGACAGCCCCGGAATGGTGACGTAGGACTACGTGGTCTTATATAATAAATATGATTTGTTAACTGCAGCAGGAGCTTGTGTTTTGTGTAGGAATAGGAATTTAAGCGGGGTTCTTTCTGTTTACTTTAGCATGACTATGATTGCCCTGAAAAGAACCTGTTGATATGAATTTTAGTTGGGACATGTTCAGAAATTTAAATCATTTTGAAAATCTTGGTGGCCCTGAAATGGGCCGAAGGTAGTACAGGCTTAAAGCCTTTGGAAGGAGATGATGACGTGTAGGCAGCTAGATCAGCAATTTCGGACCGGACAAACCCATATTCTTCGGTTCAATGATTGGGCACTTGCAAGAATCTCGGCCCGTCTGCTGCTGGACAGGGGTGATGCGCTCGAATAATCGATGAATTTTTAATCGAATAGCTGGAAAAGTCTTTGCGATTAATCGTTAATCGAATAATTGGACTTTCAGGCATTCCTAGAAAATAGTGTAATATCATGTTTTTTGTGGTCCTTCGAAAATGTCGACCAGCAGAATTGCAACCAGCAAGTGTAACCCAAGAACCAAAAGCGGTGCGATGTTAGTTTTCATTGCTATGACGATGACTGAATTAAGGGGCTCAGAAGCCGAGGGGTTGAAGTCAATTCTCTTAAAAGATTTCCTCTTTTAATGACCATGGCTTCACTAACCTATTTCGCAAAATTTCTCCTATGCGCTTCTATCATCCAAAACAACAAACGTATCAATGAATGTGTTTGCCGTCGAGTTATTGACAAAACAGAAAGTCGATGAAGAGAATCGATCAAAATCACTTGCACCCTTGCTTCCAAATTTGGTTACAAGATTACAACTCTGGAGAGCATTTTGTGTGCTCATTTGGAGGCGTGTGGTTCTGAATATGGCAATGAGTGTGTAAAATGTTACGCAATTGCAATCCCCCCCATTCGCACACGCTCGAAGATCGGAGGCGAATGTCACTTCAACTTCTTTCGTCTACTAAAGACTCTCTGATGACAGTGTTGGGGAAGCAGCATATGCATGTACGTAATTGGTGGATTTGTTAGTTATTCCGACGCTTTTGGACAATGCCACTTTTTCAATAGTTTCTTGTTGAAAATTAACACTCGGAAGCATTGCTATCGATACGTAGAAATATTTCTGATCGATTAGTGATCAAATTATTGCAATTGGTCCAGGGACAGCTGTGTTATTAACATTCAAAATCTTTCATAATTTCGTTACATGTTCCATTTTAGGGTTTCACAAAGTCTACCCCCATATAGAAATCACAGACGTAGTCCTACGTCAAAACGTGTAACGGCAAGTTTGTAATGGCATAAGTTAGCGATTTATTTCCGTAAATATGGCTCTAATCGCGATTTGGGGGGTGTTCAGATGGTCGAAATTTGTATACCCGGATTTCCCAGTATAAAATATTTAAAAATCCTTCATTTATCGGCTGGTGGATGTCCCAAACCTTTAAATCGATTTATCTCCGTAAATATGGCTCTAATCGTGATTTGGGGGGTGTTCAGATGGTCGAAATTTGTGTACCCGGATCAGTATAAAATATTTCAGAAGCCTTCATTTAAAAAATTGTGGTACCTTTAGAATTCCTAGGGTGAATGATTTTGATTCTAAAAAGATTGAAAATAGAGTCGTCTACTTTTTTAAAAAGCGAAAAGAGTTGTTACACTTTTTTTTGAAAGGTGTGTTTATAGGGTTTTGCAAGTGGCGTAAGATCTGTAATTTAGATTAATGGGCCAGAATACAGTCATGGTTCCTATATATGGGTCCTGGAGACAACGGAACGGTCCTCGAAAAATCCGGAACATCCGTAAAAGTGGTCAATCCATGAACCAGATCCTAGAGCTCCGCGGTTTTTTTTTTTGAAAACAAGGAACTGTGATATTTAAAAAAAAATATTTGGGGTCGTGACATAAACATGGACCTGGATGTCCATGGGACCGTCCTCCGGAAGATCCAGAACATCCGTAAAAGCGGTCAATACATGAAACTGATCCTAGAGCTCCGCAGTTTTTGAAAAACACTAAGAACTGAGATGATAGAATGAATTTGGGGTCGTGATATAAACATGGACCTTGATGGCCATGAGACCGTCCTCTGAAAGATCCGGAACATCCGTGAAAGTGGAAAATTCGCGAAACTGATCCTAGAGCTCCGTAGTTTTCTTGAAAACGTTAGGAACTGTGATATTAGAATAAATTTGGGGTCGTGACATAAACTTGGACCCAGATGGCCATCGGACCGTCTTCCGGGAGATCTGAAAAATCAGTAAAAGTGGTTAAACTGATCCTAGAGCTCCACGGTTTTTTCGAAAACACTTAGAACTGTCATTGTTACCGCGAGGCAATTAATTTAAAACCAAAACCATAAGATAACCACATAGTTGCATCTCGTTTGCATAGCCCTAGCTGACGTTGATACCAAGGCCAAGAATATGAAATGAAAAGTAGGGCAAAAGGAGCGAGAGCTCGTTTTACATAATCTAACTGCAGTATTTACTTAGGAATGTTTCTGCGTTCAAGTGGGATAAACACGCCCACGCATGGCATGCTTGCGCATCTAGGTTAAGTTTAGCTTTCCCTCTCTGTTTATCCTTAACGAAGAATATAATTATAACTTTTAAACGTTGCAAATGTCACATTCTTACATAGTTGAAGATGCTAATTTCAAATAACAGACTGTAGTGGTAATTTTTATACGATAGATGGAGTAGATGAAAGCATAGAGTTGACATAACTTTTTTACCATTGGGTAAAAATCAACCAAATTTTGCACACTTTCTCATTGATGTGTATTGTGTACATGCTGTCAAACTCGAAGTCGTGTTTTTCGATTCAACAAAAATGGAGGTGAACCAACGCGAGTTGAGAGAACAAATTCTTTCCAAACACCTGGAATTTCCTGACCTGTCGCACCGGCAGTTGGGAAAAATGTTGAACATTCACCATTGAACCGTCTCCAGAGTGTTGAAGCGGTTCCAGGAGCGGTTGACGTTGGACCACGGCAAAGGAGCTGGAAGAAAACCGGGACCGGAGAACAAAAAGACGGAGGGAAAGGTGAAGCGGATGATTAAAGCAAATCCCAACGTCTCAAGCCGTGATTTGGCTAAAAAGATCGGCATGTCGCAGAGCTACGTCCAGAATGCAAAGAAGAGAGCTGGACTACATACATACAAGGTACAGAACTTCCCAAACCGCGATGAGCGGCAACAATCGACGGCTAAAACTCGGGCACGGAAGCTCTACGAGAAGATGCTGACAAAATATGGCTGCTGTGTGATGGACGACGAAACGTATATAAAAGCAAATTCCGGCGTTGGCGTTTTTCACCGGCAAGAGCAAGTTCGATGTGGACGACAAATTTAAGAACAAGAAAATGTCGAAGTTCGCCTCCAAATATCTCATTTGGCAGGCCATCTGCTCTTGCGGACTGAGGAGTGAGCCTTTCGTGACAAAGGGCACAGTAAATGGCGAGATCTACAAATCTGAGTGCCTCGAGAAGCGCCTTTTGCCGTTCTTGCAGCAGCACGACGAAGCTCCGCTATTTTGGCCAGATTTGGCATCATGCCACTATTCTAAAAGTGTCCTGG